AGTTACCAGCTGTTACCTCCCTCTGACATATTTTTCTTTTGAGATGCTCCTATGACAAAACAAGCCAATGACCATATGCGTAGCTTTGTTTTCAAGATGGCTTCTTTTGCATGACTATGCTATGCAAATCATTACCCCCCCCAAAACTCTCCTTTTCTGTTTTTTTTTGTCCCTCCCCTTTGTTTGTGTCATTTCTCATTTGTGTTTTGTCTCATTTGTCTCCATCAGCAAGTGCCCAACACCCCTGGGTTTGTGGGGTACAACCCATACAGCCATCTGGCCTACAACAACTACAGGCTGGGAGGGAATACCGGCAGCAACAACAGGGTAATGGTAGGACCAATGCCATCCAGGGCTAGAGCCCAAGGAGTAAGGCTGGCTATTCCCTGAGTGAAACAAGGATAATTGGGAGAAAATAGAAATTAAGCATCAGCTGATCCATAACTGCCATTCAAAAGTGTTTGGTACAAGAATAGAAGGGTGAAACAAAAATATTTAACATGCAGGAAATAATTATTTTGGGGGGGTTAAAAGGTACAACAAAAACAGCTGATGGTCAAGTGAGGTCAGTAGTTGCCCCAAAGTCATCCTATAATCTTCTGTAAAACAGTCACGATCATCTTACTCCCAACTGATGTGATGCTCAACTTGATGACCCACCAACCACGTGATTGTTTGTTAGAAGTGTCACCAGCTCCCCTCATCTTGTCCCACTCCTCTTGATGCAAATGTATCATATCATGTTAGAGCGGTTGCTTCTCTGACATGCCCCTCCCCTGCTTGTACAGCCTGCTAGGGAGCAGCAGCATGTTGCCCCGTCCATCCAAGGCTCATGACTTGGCATGTCAGAGGTTCATACTGGTTGGTGTTTAATCACAGGGCAGCCAAAACTGAGACGTTTTCATTTGACTTAGAGCCCTCTAATATTCAACACTGAGAGGGCAATAATTTGTCCTCTACATACCAGCTATGCATGAAATACTATCCAAAAAATAAGGTTCAACATTTTGGAATGAGTCTCCTTAATAGCTTTACTTAAAGCAGATTGTGTCATTTTCAGTTGTGCCCCTTTTTCATAGTAGTACATAAGTGTTATATTAGTGTTGTTTTCTGTAATAAATATGTGCATTGGTTTGACCTGTTGATCTTTTGTTGGGATCTCTTTCCCAGAATTCCTCAGGAATCACTGTTCCCAAGCCACCCAAACCGCCAGACAAGCCGCTGATGCCCTACATGCGGTACAGCCGGAAGGTAAGCAGGAAGGTAAGACACCCACGGTGTCTACTTTTACTGCTTGTACAGGGGGTCACCCAGCCAACCGTCTGGATGGCCGGGGACCCCCCCCCCCGTTAACCCCTCTGGATTGGAGGTCGGAGACAGCTGAGTTACACCACCGTCCGGATCCACTCCTCTTCAACACCTGTCTTCATCGTTGATTCTGTCTGTCCTTGTTTCTGTGTGACCTGTTGTGCTTGCTTTCCCTTTGTCTCCTCCAAATCAAATCTTTCTCTCCCTCTGTTTCCTCCTCTCTTTGTGTATTTACATACATTTTCCTGCTTAGTTGCTGCTCTGTTTTGACCATGGTGCCTCCTTTTTGCTAGGTCTGGGACCAAGTCAAAGCCTCCAATCCAGATCTGAAGTTATGGGAGATTGGAAAGATTATTGGTGGCATGTGGAGGGACCTCACTGAAGAGGAGAAGCAGGACTACTTGAACGAATATGAAGCGGAAAAGGTGAGTGAATGACAGTTTGCAGTTTGGAGCAGCAGTTCTGCAATGCCCTAGCTATTTTGCCTGGGGTAAATGAGTCAAGTATGATTATGTCCATTACTGTGTTTTTCACTGAGATTTTATAACTACTGCCTCTATAGATTGAGTACAACGACTCCCTGAAGGCCTACCACAACTCACCGGCTTACCTGGCCTACATCAACGCCAAGAACCGTGCCGAGGCGGCTCTGGAGGAGGAGAGCAGACAACGGCAGACCCGCATCGAGAAGGGAGAACCTTACATGAGCATCCAGCCTGCTGAAGACCCAGATGGTAATGGCCCGGGGACTAGAAATGCTGTATCTCATGTAACTTTTTTGTTTATCTATATTGTGTGTGTAATGAAAGCAAACGTTTGTGTCTCTCCTTCCCGTAGACTATGACGATGGGTTCTCCATGAAGCACACGGCCACCGCTCGCTTCCAGAGGAACCACCGGCTCATCAGTGACATCCTCAGTGAGATTGTGGTGCCAGATGTGCGCTCTGTCGTCACCACTGCACGCATGCAAGTCCTCAAGCGCCAGGTCCAGTCCCTCATGGTGCACCAGGTAAGCAAAGCTAGTGGAAAACGCACTGGACTGGAATCACCTAATAGTCTGGTTTGACACTATCGTGTTCCTTTCCACAGAGGAAGCTGGAAGCAGAGCTGCTGCAAATAGAGGACCGTCACCAGGACAAGAAGAGGAGGTTCCTGGAGACTACAGACTCCTTCAACAGTGAGCTCAAACGGGTATGTGCCCCCAGTGTCCAGTGAGAATCACCTCATACAAAGTGCAACAGCTGATAGCCTTAGTCTTTTTGTACCAGTGAAGTTAATTTGTTAACTTTTATCAGCAGCCATGCTGTGTGATGTTAGGTTTGTATTCTGTGCCACTGTCTGTAGCTGTGACTTTTGAAGTTTGTTTGTCTTTGTAGCTCTGGTGTTTTGTACAAAAGTAAGATTTGTCATAACTGCTCAAAGCTGCAGTGTCTGAAACTAGATGTGTGGTTTGTTTGTGCTTGCAGCTGTGCGGTCAGAAGGTGGAGGTAGACATGGAGAAGCTGGCAGCAGAGATTGCTGCGGCAGAGGAGGCTGCTAGGCGGCGGGCGGAGGAGAGGGAGAAGGAAGCGGCGGAGCAGGCAGAGAAGGCTGCCCAGGAGCAGCAACAGGCGGCAGCAGCCTCTGCTTCGTCTACACTGCCCAACACTGAACAGAACAACACCATCCCACCAACCACAGAGACCACGGAGGACCAGGACAAGCCAACCCCTATGGAGACAGGTCAGTCATACCAACATCACACTAACACTAACTACAGATGGGGGGGGCTATGGTTAAAGCATTTTCTCGATTGTTATTTCAGGAACTTGCTGTTTGGAGTAAGAAAAAGCATGATGTAGTGCTTTTATTGCCGTAACATGTTGTTGGGAAAACAACACGTTAACTGTTGTGGCATTCAGACTGAGCATTGTGATCAATGATCATTACGATCTACACAAAGACCCCTGACCTACACACTTTCCTTCTTTCCTTCAGAAGAGACGCCTGCATCAGAGACATCTGAGACCCAGCCAGAGGCTGAGGAGGGCACACCAACCCCTGCTGCAGAGAAGCAGCACGGCCCGTCGGTGGAGAGCGTCACGGACGAGGGCACCAGTGACAGCACCGCCGCATCTGAGAGCAGCACCGGACCCCCTGCAGACCCCCCTGCTTCAGCTGAGCCTGCCCCAGAGGAACGCCCAGCCAGCCCTCCCAATAACATCTCTGTAGAAGGGCACACCTCTCTCTGAGCACCCCCCCCCCCCCCCCCCCCCCCCCCAACCTGCAGACTAGGGGCATGTTTTGTGGGCACAGTGCTGCATATCAAAATATTGGAATGTGTATAGAAGTGATTCCATAGTTTTGTACATTCTGTAGGTTGTTGTTTGCAACGTCATGCAACCCTGTGCCCATTAAACATGACCCGGTGATGTTCTTCCACCATCTCCACACTCAGTTTGTGTGTTTGACATTTCTATTGATCTTGTTATGGACCTCTGGATTCATACCACAACAAGTCAACAGTTCCTCTTTAGCTATTTGCTATTGGGGTTGATAGAACAGGGAAGGGCCTTGGCCTAATTTATTCCATACCCAATTGTCAATGGTTTTTACATGCTATTTTTGTTGCCTTTTTTTATCTAACTTTTAGTTAGTAATCAACGGGGTGTGGACTGTTAGTGACGGATTAAATTCAGAATTCATATGAAATGGTCAGTCCTTGAATATCACCTATTATATATCACAGCAAATGGATGACTGAGAACTGTTTTACATGAGCTGTTTGTGTCAAACCCTATTGCCGTGTATAAAACCTTATGCATTCAAATGACTGTTTTACTTGAATTTGAATGATTTTATTATGCCTCTGCAATTTGCATCTTTTTTGTACTGTCAAGCCTCTTGCCCAAATAAAAGTAATTTCTGTCTTTCTGACAATTGGCTTATTTCAAATGTTTTATTGGCTTTCTCTAGATGTAGGGCTACTGATTGCTTAGCCTGCCTAGTTAGTAAGAAAAACACAGCATTTAGATACATCGGCACTATAATATCAAACAAACATTCCTTAATTATTTTACAATTTTAATTTGGGAAAAAATAAATTTCTTTTGGGCTACTACTGTGAGTAAAATCTCATTGACCATTGGGGAAAGTGATTGCATGCCCACTTTTCTCACCTCATTGCCTCCTCTGCAATCCATGCGTCGTCACGGCTCTTGAAAAGAGCACGAGGGCGCACCAGATGGTCACAGTATAGAAATCAGGAATGATGAACAGCCGCGCTCTTTGCCTCTACATCGCGCTCCTCTACCCGATTCCCAAAACATTGACGGAATACTCAACCAATACTGACTCCGAGTACGAGTTTGGGGATTACCGGGGCAAGTGGTGCATAGACGACCACGGATTTGTGTATAGCATCGGGGAGGTGTACTATCCCAGTCCATCTGCTTGTCCGTGCACCTGCACTGAAGACGGACCCGTGTGCATACGACCAAAGTGTCCTCGCATTCATCCTCGATGTACGCGGATTAAATACAAGGCTTGCTGTCCAGTGTGTGAGGCAGTTAGCAAAGTGTGTGTATATGGTGGCAAAATGTACAGAATACTCGAGGAATTCAGGGTGAGATTTATTTTTTAAAGAAACATTGATTAAAAATATGATCTACTTTAAGTGACTTTGTATACATTATCCGAAGTTGAATCTTGGAATTTGTTTATTATACTCCTTATGTCAAAGCAGTGTTTTTGTGTGTGTCTAGCCTGATGGTGGAGATGGGAACATTGGTTATTGATTTATCCTCTTGCATGAGAGATGTAGTCCTATTGTCAAGTGTAACCATAACAGTACTCTCCATCAACAAGGGCTCATGTGAGGGGTCAACAGTTGAGATGGCATGACCTTTAGCCTGAGGTGACATTTCATATGATCTCTTTTTAATTGAAAAGAGTATTCAGGTATTACATTGACGCATGCTTCATATGTTTCTCAAGTATTATGCTTCCTTCCAAATGACAGGAGAACACAAGAGTTTAACTTTTGAGAGAAAGTGACTGTGGTAGAAAATATGTCTAAAGGTGTGTCTAACCTGTTGTTTCAGTTGTCACGCTGTGAGAGATGTCGTTGCGAGCCCAACAGGGAGGTGTACTGTTCCATCTCTGATTGTCCTGCACCACACTGTGTCAACCCTACATATGAGCCCATCCACTGCTGTCCTGTCTGCTACACTGGTGAGTTCACCTCTACAAACACACAACTTTCCAACACATAAATGGTCTCTACCCTCAGAAAGACACAATTTCTTGCACACCAGTTTACATGCTATAATGATAGGATGGACATACACACAGATGTGATCTGTATAATATGACCTACACATACAATGCAAATATACAGAATCCATAAGCCTGGTCATATGTAACTCAAGCATTTTGCTGCATCTGCTATAACATCTGCTTAACTGTGTATGACCAATAAACATTGATTTGATGTCAACCATCTATAATTAGCTTTGACACAGTGTGTGATATTGATTATAAAGACAGCTGCAGCTCTTACATAATAATGTTTACGATGGCAGTAGTTGGCTGCTACCCCGAGTTGGAGTCTAAGGTCATCAATATCTTCAATTCTTCTTTTATCACTGCTCCACTGCACTATTACCATCTGTACTGTATGTTCAAAATGCTATGTGCATCATATTCATATCAAGCTCAATCATTAGTTAGAAGTCAAGCCAAGGAGTTTTGGAAATATTTCAATTATTTAGTGACTGATGTGGGATCCAAGCATCCTTAGAACTAAACTATGGAATTCAGCATTGCACAGATTACATAACTGAATTTGGACACTGAATAAAGAGGGATGCAATCAAACAGCTCGATAGTGCTCTGTCCAACACAGGAATAGTAACTAACCCCCAGCCTGGTGGGATAGCGGGGCGATGTGGGTCATGGGGCCATCCATCCAACAGCAGGCAGTAAAGGAACAGCTTGTGTGTGCGCCGTATACAGTTCAATCAATGAATCAATCACATTTATTTATAAAGCCCTTTTTACATCAACAGTTGTCACAAAGTGCTTATACAGAAACCCAGCCTAAAACCCCAAAGAGCAAGCAATGCAGATGTACACTGAACAAAAATATAAACGCAACATTTAAAGTGTTGGTCCCATGTTTCATGAGCTGAAATAAACGATCCCAGAAATGTTCCATACACAACATGTAAAGGACATTGTATTATCATATTTTGGTACTCCCTGACGAAGGCCATGCAGCCGAAACGTGTCAGAGTTTTAAAAAACTTTGTTTCCATTGAACATGCCATACAAATAAAGGCATTTTAATTAATTATATGAAGTGTGCCTTGGTCCTCCTTTCTTTTTGATGACCAATTTACCCATGTTACCAAAGAGCACCTTCTGTCTACAAAAATCTACTATTGTGAACCTTAGCAGCGCTTCCCTTCCTTCGTTTTTTCTGCAACATGTAAAGTGTTGGTCCCATGTTTCATGAGATGAAATAAAAGATCCCAGTAATGTTCCATACGCACAAAAAGCTTATTTCTCTCCAATTTTGTGCACAAGTTTGTTTACATCCCTGTTAGTGAGCATTTATACTTTGCCAAGATAATTCATCCATCTGTGGCATATCAAAAAGCTGATTAAACAACATGATCATTACACAGGTGCAGCTTGTGCTGGGGACAATAAAAGACCACTCTAAAATGTGCAGTTTTGTCAAACAACACAATGCCACAGATGTCTCAAGTTTTGAGGGAGCGTGCAATTGGCATGCTGACTGCAGGAATGTCCACCAGAGCTGTTGCCAGAGAATTGAACGTTCATTTTATCAATGGCAATTTGAATACACAAAGATACCTTGACGAAATCCTGAGGCCCATTGTCGTACCATTCATCTGCCGCCATCGCCTCATTTTTCAAAATTATAATGCATGGCCCCATGTCGCAAGGATCTGTACACAATTCCTGGAAGCTGAAAATGTCCCAGTTCTTCCATGGCCTGCATACTCACTAGACATGTCACCCATTGAGCATGTTTGGGATGCTCTGGATCGACGTGTACGGCAGTGTGTTCCAGTTCTCGCCAATATCCAGCAACTTCGCACACCCATTGAAGAGGAGTGGGACAACATTCCACAGGCCACAATCAACAGCCTGATCAACTCTATGCGAAGGAGATGTGTCGCGCTGCATGAGGCAAATGGTGGTCACACCAGATACTGACTGGTTTTCTGATCCAAGCTCTCACCTTTTTTTAATGTATCTGTGACCAATATATGCATATCTGTATTCCCAGTCATGTGTAATTCATAGATTAGGGCCCAATTAAATTATATTAAATTGACTGATTTCCTTATATGAACTGTAACTCAGTAAAATCTTTGAAATTGTTGCATGTTGCGTTTATATTTTTGTTCGGTTGGCACCCGTCCACTTCTCTTAAATAATTCCCTATTTCTTCTACATTTACATTTACATTTACGTCATTTAGCAGACACTCTTATCCAGAGCGACTTACAAATTGGTGCATTCACCTTATAGGCCATGGTCCTCTGTAGCTCAGCTGGTAGAGCACGGCGCTTGTAACGCTAAGGTAGTGGGTTCGATCCCCGGGACCACCCATACACAAAAAAAAATGTATGCACGCATGACTGTAAGTCGCTTTGGATAAAATGGCATATTGGCATAAATGGCATATTATTATTATTATTATATTATTATAGCCAGTGGGATAACCACTTTACAATATGTTATTATTATGATTTTTTTAAATTTGGGGGGGTGGGGTAAGGAGGGGTAGAAGGATTACTTTATCCTATCCCAGGTTTTCCTTAAAGAGGTGGGGTTTCAAGTGTCTCCGGAAGGTGGTGAGTGACTCCGCTGTCCTGGCGTTGTGAGGGAGCTTGTTCCACCATTGGGGTGCCAGAGCAGCGAACAGTTTTGACTGGGCTGAGCGGGAACTGTGCTTCCGCAGAGGTAGGGGGGCCAGCAGGCCAGAGGCGGATGAACGCAATGCCCTCGTTTGGGTGTAGGGACTGACCAGAGCCTGAAGGTACGGAGGTGCCGTTCCCCTCACAGCTCCGTAGGCAAGCACCATGGTCTTGTAGCAGATGCGAGCTTCAACTGGAAGCCAGTGGAGTGTGCGGAGGAGCGGGGTGACGTGAGAGAACTTGGGAAGGTTGAACACCAGACGGGCTGCGGCATTCTGGATGAGTTGTAGGGGTTTAATGGCACAGGCAGGGAGCCCAGCCAACAGCGAGTTGCAGTAATCCAGACGGGAGATGACAAGTGCCTGGATTAGGACCTGTGCCGCTTCCTGTGTAAGGCAGGGTCGTACTCTCCAAATGTTGTAGAGCCTGAACCTACAGGATCGGGTCACCGCCTTGATGTTAGCGGAGAACGACAGGGTGTTGTCCAGGGTCACGCCAAGGCTCTTTGCACTCTGGGAGGAGGACACAACGGAGTTGTCAACCGTGATGGCGAGATCATGGAACGGGCAGTCCTTCCCCGGGAGGAAGAGCAGCTCCGTCTTGCCGAGGTTCAGCTTGAGGTGGTGATCCGTCATCCACACTGATATGTCTGCCAGACATGCAGAGATGCGATTCACCACCTGGTTATCTGAAGGGGGAAAGGAGAAGATTAGTTGTGTGTCGTCTGCGTAGCAATGATAGGAGAGGCCATGTGAGGATATGACAGAGCCAAGTGACTTGGTGTATAGCGAGAATAGAAGAGGGCCTAGAACTGAGCCCTGGGGGACAGCAGTGGTGAGAGCACGTAGTGCGGAGACAGATTCTCGCCACGCCACTTAGTAGGAGCGACCTGTCAGGTAGGACGCAATCCAGGAGTAAGCCGCGCCGGAGATGCCCAACTCGGAGAGGGTGGAGAGGAGGATCTGATGGTTCATAGTATCAAAGGCAGCAGACAGGTCTAGAAGGACAAGAGCAGAGGAGAGAGAGTTAGCTTTAGCAGTGCGGAGAGCCTCCGTGACACAGAGAAGAGCAGTCTCAGTTGAATGACCAGTCTTGAAACCTGACTGGTTTGGATCAAGAAGGTCATTCTGAGAGAGATAGCAAGAGAGTTGGCTAAAGTCGGCACGCTCAAGAGTTTTGGAGAGAAAAGAAAGAAGGGATACTGGTCTGTAGTTGTTGACATCGGAGGGATCGAGTGTAGGTTTTTTGAGAAGGAGTGCAACTCTCGCTCTCTTGAAGACGGAAGAGACATAGCCAGCGGTCAAGGATGAGTTGATGAGCGAGGTGAGGTAAGGGAGAAGGTCACCGGAAATGGTCTGGAGAAGAGAGGAGGGGATAGGGTCAAGCGGGCAGGTTGTTGGGCGGCCGGCCATCACAAGTCGCAAGATTTCATCTGGAGAGAGAGGGGAGAAAGAAGTCAAAGTGTCATTTGACTTAACAAACGAGGATCGGATGTCGTCAACCTTCTTTTCAAAATGGTTGACGAAGTCATCCACAGAGAGGGAGGAAGGGGGGGAGGGGGAGGAGGATTCAGCAGGGAGGAGAAGGTGGCAAAGAGCTTCCTAGGGTTAGAGGCAGATGCTTGGAATTTAGAGTGGTAGAAAGTGGCTTTAGCAGCAGAAACAGAAGAAAAAAATGTAGAGAGGAGGGAGTGAAAAGATGCCAAGTCCGCAGGGAGTCTAGTTTTCCTCCATTTCTGCTCGGCTGCCCGGAGCCCTGTTCTGTGAGCTCGCAATGAGTCGTCAAGCCACGGAGCAGGAGGGGAGGACCGAGCCGGCCGGGAGGATAGGGGACATAGAAAGTCAAAGGATGCAGAAAGGGAGGAGAGGAGGGTTGAGGAGGCAGAATCAGGAGATTGGAGGGAGAAGGATTGAGCAGAGGGAAGAGAGGATAGGATGGAAGAGGAGAGAGTAGCGGGAGAGAGAGAGCGAAGGTTGCGACGGCGCATTACCATCTGAGTAGAGGCAGAGTGAGTAGTGTTGGAGGAGAGCGAGAGAGAAAAGGATACAAAGTAGTGGTCAGAGACATGGAGGGGAGTTGCAGTGAGATTAGTAGAAGAACAGCATCTAGTAAAGATGAGGTCAAGCGTATTGCCTGCCTTGTGAGTATGGGGGGACGGTGAGAGGGTGAGGTCAAAAGAGGAGAGGAGTGGAAAGGAGGCAGCAGAGAGAAATGAGTCAAAGGTAGACGTAGGGAGGTTAAAGTCACCCAGAACTGTGAGGGGTGAGCCATCCTCAGGACAGGAACTTATCAAGGCGTCAAGCTCATTGATGAACTCTCCAAGGGAACCTGGAGGGCGATAAATGATAAGGATGTTAAGCTTGAATGGGCTAGTGACTGTGACAGCATGGAATTCAAATGAGGAGATAGACAGATGGGTCAGGGGAAAAAGAGAGAATGTCAACTTGGGAGAGATGAGGATTCCTGTGCCACCACCCCGCTGACCAGATGCTCTCTGGGTATGCAAGAACACATGGTCAGACGAGGAGAGAGCAGTAGGAGTAGCAGTGTTTTCAGTGGTAATCCATGTTTCCGTCAGCGCCAAGAAGTCGAGGGACTGGAGGGTAGTAGGGGTGTAACGATCCATCTACTACATCGATGTATCGATTTATATTCCTATGATCCAACTACATCGATCTGTGCTCGGCGAGTTGGCCTTTTGGACAACATATATCGATCTAACATCGTTTTAAAATGTAATAAATCGATTGTATCGATACTAGGAAATAACCCATTGGATTTAAGCACGTCAGACTTTATATGGATGTTTTTTCTTAGCACTTTTAATGATAAAGGCTTTAAACATTACTCGATTCAGTCTGCCTATCCGTGACGTCATCGCGCCAGCAGCAGCGCAAAGGCGCCAAGACAACAAAACAAAGCATGGCGGACGACAGAGGAGAAGCCGACGAGCGAGAAATTATCAAGCCACCATTGCGGTCCTTACAAGAAACAGGAATCTAGGAAACTTCACCTGCACTGTCCAGTATCCAGGTATTTATTTCAGTCACACTGGTTGAATTTTTGGCTAAAAGGTTACTGAATCGATTTCAAGTCACTGAATCGTTTCGGATCGTATCGTTCTAAATGAACCAATATTGTATTATTGAATCGTATCGACAACCACGAATCGTGATACAAATCGAATCGTTGTTAAAACGAATCGTTACACCCCTAGAGGGTAGCATAGGCTGAGATAATACAGTGGGGGAAAAAAGTATTTAGTCAGCCACCAATTGTGCAAGTTCTCCCACTTAAAAAGATGAGAGAGGCCTGTAATTTTCATCATAGGTACACGTCAACTATGACAGACAAATTGAGGAAAAAAAATCCAGAAAATCACATTGTAGGATTTTTAATGAATTTATTTGCAAATTATGGTGGAAAATAAGTATTTGGTCACCTACAAACAAGCAAGATTTCTGGCTCTCACAGACCTGTAACTTCTTCTTTAAGAGGCTCTTCTGTCCTCCACTCGTTACCTGTATTAATGGCACCTGTTTGAACTTGTTATCAGTATAAAAGATACCTGTCCACAACCTCAAACAGTCACACTCCAAACTCCACTATGGCCAAGACCAAAGAGCTGTCAAAGGACACCAGAAACAAAATTGTAGACCTGCACCAGGCTGGGAAGACTGAATCTGCAATAGCAAGATTGGTTTGAAGAAATCAACTGTGGGAGCAATTATTAGGAAATGGAAGACATACAAGACCACTGATAATCTCCCTCGATCTGGGGCTCCACGCAAGATCTCACCCTGTGGGGTCAAAATGATCACAAGAACGGTGAGCAAAAATCCCAGAACCACACGGGGGGACCTAGTGAATGACCTGCAGAGAGCTGGGACCAAAGTAACAAAGCCTACCATCAGTAACACACTACGCCGCCAGGGACTCAAATCCTGCAGTGTCAGACGTGTCCCCCTGCTTAAGCCAGTACATGTCCAGGCCCGTCTGAAGTTTGCTAGAGTGCATTTGGATGACCCAGAAGAGGATTGGGAGAATGTCATATGGTCAGATGAAACCAAAATAGAACTTTTTGGTAAAAACTCAACTCGTCGTGTTTGGAGGACAAAGAATGCTGAGTTGCATCCAAAGAACACCATACCTACTGTGAAGCATGGGGGTGGAAACATCATGCTTTGGGGCTGTTTTTCTGCAAAGGGACCAGGACGACTGATCCGTGTAAAGGAAAGAATGAATGGGGCCATGTATCGTGAGATTTTGAGTGAAAACCTCCTTCCATCAGCAAGGGCATTGAAGATGAAACGTGGCTGGGTCTTTCAGCATGACAATGATCCCAAACACACCGCCCGGGCAACGAAGGAGTGGCTTCGTAAGAAGCATTTCAAGGTCCTGGAGTGGCCTAGCCAGTCTCCAGATCTCAACCCCATAGAAAATCTTTGGAGGGAGTTGAAAGTCCGTGTTGCCCAGCGACAGCCCCAAAACATCACTGCTCTAGAGGAGATCTGCATGGAGGAATGGGCCAAAATACCAGCAACAGTGTGTGAAAACCTTGTGAAGACTTACAGAAAACGTTTGACCTGTGTCATTGCCAACAAAGGGTATATAACAAAGTATTGAGAAACTTTTGTTATTGACCAAATACTTATTTTCCACCATAATTTGCAAATAAATTCATTAAAAATCCTACAATGTGATTTTCTGGAAAAATAATTCTCATTTTGTCAGTCATAGTTGACGTGTACCTATGATGAAAATTACAGGCCTCTCTCATCTTTTTAAGTGGGAGAACTTGCACAATTGGTGGCTGACTAAATACTTTTTTCCCCCACTGTATATAATTGGATTTGGATTTTCAACATTGAAGAAGCAATTTTGTTTTTTGAAACTTAAGTTTACAATTTTAATTTAGAAAAGAAAAACAAATGGCATGGACTCAATTATTAGCACCCAAGAGCTAATATTTGGTTGCACAGCCTTTGGCCAAGATACAATAACTGCTGACAAATGCTTCTTGTAGTCTTCAATTAGCTCCTTTCTACTGGAAGTTTGGCCCACTCTTCAGCTGCAAAATGCTCCAATTCTGCAATGTTTGAGGGGTGCCTTCCACCAACTGCTGTTTTCAGATCTCGCCATATGTTTTAGATGGGAATCAGATCTGGACTCAATGCTGGCCACTCCAGAACAGTCTAGTGTTTCTTCTTGAACCATTCCTGGGTGCTTTTTGATGCGTGTTTGGGTTTGTTTTCCTGCTGGAAGACCTACAACCTTCGATGGAGACCCAGTTTTTGTACACTGGGTTGAACATTGGACTACAAAATACCTTGATAGTCTGCTGATTTCATGAGTTTAAGCCCCCCAGTACCAGAGGCAGCAAAGCAATCCCACAGCATTATTGAAACTCCCCCATGTTTGATTGTAGGGATTGTTTGGTCGTCGGTAAACATAGCGCTGATTTCTATTGCCAAAGAGCTCTAATTTTGTTTAATTGGTCCATAGAACATTTCCCCCCAGGATTTAGGCTTGTTTAGGTGGGTTTTTGCGAAGTTCAATAGGGGTTTCTTGTGTAGGGAATTATTTAAGAAAAGTGCAAGGGTGCCAATTTATTTGGCCACAACTGTATGTCTGCCTTTATGGATGTGTAAGTAACTCTACAAAGTATAGCATATTGGTGCTGCAAATGGATGACAGTGGGATGGTTTCAATAAGACTACAGAAGTTTCTTATTGCAATGCTGATAAAGAGCACATTAGGTACACAATTAACTGTCAAAAACATATGCAATTCACATTTATGTTGACATACATCTGATATATTTATTTTTCTGCATCCTGCCTACAGGGCCCAACTGTTTTGTGGGCGACAGAGTGATCTCGGCAGGGGAGCGGGTAGAGATAGACGAGCAGACCGTGTGTTACTGCACCTACCGGGACGGCACCTGGCAGATGCAACCCCATGCCACCTGCGAGCAGCGCCCGCTGCCAGACCCCGATCTCAACCATGTCCCCAACCCCAGCCCCTCTGAGCCCCCCGGGGAAGACGAGACCAAGCAGATGGACAGGGACTTCCGCCCCAGGCTGGACTGGATCCCGTGAGCAGGCAGGAGGGTGGGGGTGAGAGAGTAGTAGTGTGCCAAGGGGAAACGGGGAGATGATGGGGCAGGTTGTTTTCCGTGCCCTGCTGAGTGCAGTCTGCATAGGGCTTAGGGCCAGGGATGACCTACTATACCACATTATACAACCACAACAACATTACTAGCTAGTAGTGTTTGTGCAACATTACATAAAACTTTGCACACAGGGACCACAATATATGGTGCACATTCAAGACAATACACAACTATAACACATAGTTTCGTGACATGAATTTGTCTCCATTTTCCTTCACTTGCAGTAGTCTCTGGTTTTGTCGTCAAAGGGCTGGTGTAAGTGGACACTTAGGGTTAGAGATGGTTGCAACATTCACCCTTCTATTAATCTCAGGTTTACACGTTCATTTGTGCCCATTAACTTTGCTCTGTATGTTTCTCTGACTAGTGTTAAGTTTCTTTAATCTTATTGATATCCTTCTCAGAATTGTTCTAATGCTAAAATGTAAATGTACCCTTTCCAAATGTTCTGTATGTAAATGTACTTGTGGTTCTATGAAGTGTAGCTTTGAAGAGCATATTATCAAATAAAGACTCATGGGCGGCGCACAATTGGCCCAGCGTCGTCCAGGGTAGGGGAGGGAATGGCCGGCAGGGATGTAGCTCAGTTGATAGAGCATGGCGTTTGCAACGCCAGGGTTGTGGGTTCGATTCCCACAGGGGCCAGTATAAAAAAAAAAAAATGTATTCACTAACTGTAAGTCGCTCTGGATAAGAGCGTCTGCTAAATGACTAAAATGTAAATGTAAGGTTCAGGAACCATATGTATCAAGCATCTCAGATTGGAGTGACAATTTAGGATCAGTTTCGCCTTAAATAGATCACAATGAATAAGATTACATGGACAAGGGGCCCTGACCCTAGATCAACACTCCTACAGAGACGCTTGATAAGGACACAGTTGAATGAATGACAATGTCCCATCATTATCCTTGTTTACATGCAGGTAAGCGCCTACACCAGGGGTAAGTAACCCTGTTCCTGGAGTGCCAGAAGTACTGCAGGATTTTCTTCCAACTAGGCACAACACCTGACCAACTGAGCCAATTGATCAGTGATTGCCTAAATTCAACACACCTGGTCTTCAGGTTAGTTAAATCAAAAACATGGAAGTGCCTGCTGCACTGGAACAGGATTACATCGGATCTCAGGGCTCTTAAAAAGGTGTCCCATTCATCATATCCCTCAACGCAAACTTCATTTTGGCTTTTTAGATGAGCAACCTCATGCAATATGGATTTGTATTTTTTGCCATAAAGATCAATTCTTCATAAATAATTGACCTCTGCTGTCCTTGAATTTAGTCAACCATTAACATTGACAAGTTATCAAATATATCCTGATGTGAATCACAATTCACTGGCCAACTTGGGAGAATTTTTTTTTGCTGGTGACAATATTGGTGAATGTGCTCCTTTTCTTACACCTAGTGAGACTAAACATATGTATACAGTAGATACTGTATAGTTGGACACTGCCTTGGGATCTTGCAGACAGGACACTGACAGACTTTACAACGGTTTTTATTGAATACAACAAGCCAGGGTCAAGGATCATGCTATGCTGCCAGCATTTGAAGCAATCCTGGGCCACAGATCTGCGCATTCCTTGGCCACGGGTCCTGTGATTGCTGAACCTGTGAAACAGAAGACAGAAATTTAGCCCACAACAAAAAGGAGATCAAATAGGGACAACATGCCTTTGGCCTTGCATCAGTGCAGTAACATTTCACTGTTTGTAGACCTGCCACTTACAATGTGAACAAAAACATAGTTATGTAACTCATGCATCCACAAGAAAACTCCAGACTCAATTTGACTACATTGTCTTGATTTGAACATCCACACTTTACTTTGGTTGCTGACAAAAAATCACTGCCGTTTCCAGGTAAATTCCTATAACGTTACCTACAAAACCACCTCACTTGGCATAGTAACACCAAAATATGACATGCTGTAGTCAGATTCTCTACCAATCTCCCCAAGTGAACTTTAAAGTTTTTAAATCAATGACTGAGTGAGGACGTACACACTTCCAGGAGAAAGGTAGAGTATCACACTGCCGCCATTATGTCACTATATCTAAATGTATTCCAAGGATGACCACTATCCAGTGAACACAAATGTCCCATCACTGATTGAGATTGGTCAGCCAGAATGAGACTGCCATCTCACCCACAGTGATGATCTTACTATACCCTTCTTCGACAACTCACCCAGCTACTGACCAGACAAAGCAAGTGCTTTTTGAAGGGGTGTCATTTATATTTAGCAATATAGATGTACTATATTAAATGTACTACTCAAAATCAACATCCAGAATTTGGAATGCACTCAAAGAAGCCCAGCCAAACATCCTTATGAAGAGGCTTGAAGAACCTTCATGACATGGTATGGGGGACTAAAGACTCAAAATCCCAACGCACCTTTCATTTCTCCTTTCACGTTCACTATGACCCCTGCATTGTCTTCAAAGTAGAGAAACACGCCATCCTTTCGCCGATACGACTTCCGCTGCCGTATCACAACCGCAGGATGCACTGTGGGAAAGAGGAAGACTATCAGAATGCAGCTACCTGACAGATTATGGAAGTTATTCTGCCATAACTCGCATCTCTGCACTGTTGATTTTCACCTTTCAGTTAAACGATTGGTCTGGGACTACCACTGTGGTGAAAACGACAAGTCATTTTAAAGAGCAATCAAATTACTATGCCAATTATCAAACCGCCATAATCTATTGATTAGCTAGTCCCAGTTCAAGCATTATATAGTGATGTCGTTCATCCTATTCTAGTAATTGAATACATAATGTAGAACACACCTTTTTTTCTGAGTTCTGGTTTGCCTTTCTTGACGGTGGCCATGACCATGTCACCCACACCAGCAGCGGGCAGACGGTTCAGACGTCCCTTGATGCCCTTGACAGAGATGATGTACAGGTTCTTGGCACCTGGTGAGAAAGGGGGAAGAAGATGGTGAATATATGACAGGTTAGAGATGGTTCCACTGCCCAGGCTTGATTCAAGGTACAGATCCTTGTAGGCTATTTCAGGACAAGACAAGGTTGAAATACATGAAATGTCCCATCACTGATTGAGATTGGTCAGCCAAAATGAGACTGCCATCTCACCCACAGTGATGATTTTTCTATACCCTTTTTCGACAACTCACCGAGCTACTGACCAGACAAAGCAAGTGCTTTTTTAAGGGATATATATATATTCTAACAGATCTAAATGTAACATACCTGTGTTGTCAGCGCAGTTGATGACAGCACCCACTGGGAGACCCAGCGAGATGCGAAACTTCGCCCCAGATGACCCACCACGTCCTGAACAAGAGAAGAGATTCCATTGAAGTAAACATTACATGGTGCCGAGACTGAAAGCACAATGCTATAATCAGGCAAAGATTATCCAAATTGTTCCATCAAGGATTGAGATTGTTCAGTACAGGTGACTGCCATCTCACCCACCAGTGATGATTACTATACCCTTCTTCGACAACTCACCCAGCTACTGACCAGACAAAGCAAGTGCTTTTTGAAAGGGGTTCAACTTCACATTTAGTTATTTTCTTTTCAGATTTAAACTACTGCCAAGAACATGCAGCCACATCACTATGTGGGAGGCATTGTACAAATCACCACACAACCAAACCATAAGGCCTCAAGATTAGGAGTGACTCCACAAGTCTACGACCTGGCGAACGTTACTGCTTGCACTACAAAAAGGCAGCCCATGTTGACAGTTCTACCCCTTGTCTAATGCACCCATCCAGGGTAGCTTGTAAATTAATTGGCCAGCTAGTTGTGAGTAGACTGCTGTAAGGTGATAGCTAGCTAGTTACTTACATGGCCTGGGACGAGTTGGGAGGAAACTAGCTAGTTGGCAAGGAAACTAACGTTCAAACAGATTCAATCAGTAGCTTTGGTTCAATGTTTGAGGTAGAGTCCCCCTATTTAAAAAGTTAAAAAGCAATACACCGTGGCTCAATTTGGCTAGCTGGGGAAATCATTGAGAAGACTGCACACCTAACTACAGTAGCTAACGTTAGCCTAGGACTTCAGCGGTGTCGATGCATGATTCGCAGTCATGCCTGCTCTTAGAGACGCTATGCTAACACGCACCAGCTATAACGCCACTCACACATATGTTAACTTGCCACACATGTTGGGCATTGTACTGGAATGGCAAATGTGTCTATACCTGAGGACTTAGAGCATACGCTCACCTATTCATGTATTTTAGCTAATAAGCGGTGACAGCAAACATGGCTTCCGTAACAAGCGCCTAAAATCATCCCTCTGAATAATGCTCAGTCCTTCACATTTTCAAGCCAATATGAACGATAATTACTCATAAAACGACCATTATCCAAATACCATTATCTTCCTATGTTAGACATTCTGCAAACGGGTAGATTAATGTGGATTTTTCTAAGCAAGTCTCTTACCTCTCTTAGACATTGCTGCAAAAAGGAAAGAGGAAGACGCAAAAAGGAATCATGGGATATAAAGTTCCGCAGACATACCATAGATATTTCACGTCCGGTCGATTTAGCCTATATCGCCCTCTGGTGTTGGTGACAACAGCCTACAGGTGGCGGTCATAAACAACTACTGGAGCGTCTCTGCTTTCAAAATGAAAACAAAGTAAACATTGTGCAACTTCATGTTCAATTATTTGCTAATTGTCCAGTCATGAATGTAAGGGGTCACACGTGGAACATTGAAGGGGGTAAAGAAAAATTGAGGAATACCCGCAACCAAATTGACGGTTTGAAACCAAAAATTTAATTAAAATAAATAATTACTTAATAGTGATTCTGACAATCCACCCTAATAAAAAATAGTAGATTGCCAAAAATAAATAAAAACTCCCACTTCATCCTTCTTTTAGTTCTCCATTTCTCCATTATCAGGCTCTAGTACCTGAGAAGGTGGTACGGCTTTTGCTAATATTCCATGTAACTCCTTTGCTGTGAAATATTTCAGCCCCAGGAACCGCTCCGCCGCAATCGCAATGATTTCAATCTTCCTAGATCTTCTCTCCACCTTGGCAGTGCAATTTATCACCATTGCGATAAAGGCCACAAAGTCCACCTTTTTAACCTTTAAAATGTCAGGATCCTCTTGGTGTAAGACAACCCCTGCAGCGAAGGCCTATCCACTACCATGGAATCTTCTGGTGCAACATTCAAACCCTCAACCCTTTTCACAGCTTCTGCATATGAAATGCTCTGTACAACCCTGACTTTGGCCACCTCATTTTCTTTCACCCTTGTGGGGCATTCAGAAGACGTGGCTTCATGATTCCCACCGCAATTACAACATGTCACATTTTCTTCACTTTTATAACATATAATATGATATTTTCCACATCTTGTACATCTCGACTTCTCCTTTCTGCAAACACTTTCTACATGACCAAAATCTTTACAATGTTAACACTGCATTGTTCTTGGGATAAATGCTCTAACTCTGTAGTTAATATTCCCTAACCGCACTTCATTAGGGAGAGACCATTTCAAAAAACAGATAAACTCTTCACTTTTTTCCCATTCACCATTCGATTCATCCGACGTGCTTCAATCACTCCAGGAATATTTTTAATCTCTTCCAAATCAACTTAACACGAAACGCCAGATATAACCCCCTTAAGGGGTGGCCTGTTCCGAAGCGACACACACAACACTTAAAATTGATCAAATCGATTAAGACACAACGGTTCCTTCAGATCCGCAGAATCACACAAAAAAAAGGCCACCCCTCGTGATCCTCACATCCTTCCCTTTACCCAGCACTCTCTCCACCAGTTTGGAAAACTCAAATGGTTTCTTCAAGATTGGTACTCTGCCCAGCTGCTCCTTATTAACAAACCGTACTCCCACTAGATACGAAGTGTCATTTACATTTACGTAATTTAGCAGACGCTTTTATCCAGAGCGACTTACAAATTTGTACATTCACCTTATAGCCAGTGGGATAACCACTTTCCAATATATTTTTTTTTTTTGTGGGGTGGGGTAAGGCGGGGTAGAAGGATTACTTTATCCTATCCCAGGTTTTCTTTAAAGAGGTGGGGTTTCAAGTGTCTCCGGAAGGTGGTGAGTGACTCCGCTGTCCTGGCGTCGTGAGGGAGCTTGTTTTACCATTGGGGTGCCAGAGCATCTAACAGTTTTGACTGGGCTGAGCGGGAACTGTGCTTCCGCAGAGGTAGGGGGGCCAGCAGGCCAGAGGTGGATGAACGCAATGCCCTCGTTTGGGTGTAGGGACTGATCAGAGCCTGAAGGTACGGAGGTGCCGTTCCCCTCACAGCTCCGTAGGCAAGCACCATGGTCTTGTAGCAGATGCGAGCTTCAACTGGAAGCCAGTGGAGTGTGCGGAGGAGCGGGGTGACGTGAGAGAACTTGGGAAGGTTGAACACCAGACGGGCTGCGGCATTCTGGATTTTTACATTTTTTACATTTTAAGTCATTTAGCAGACGCTCTTATCCAGAGCGACTTACAGTTAGTGAATACATTTTTTATTTTTATTTTTATACTGGCCCCCCGTGGGAATCAAACCCACAACCCTGGCGTTGCAAACGCCATGCTCTATCAACTGAGCTACATCCCTGCCGGCCATTCCCTCCCCTACCCTGGACGACGCTGGGCCAATTGTGCGCCGCCCATGAGTCTCCCGGTCGCGGCCGGCTGCGACAGAGCCTGGATTCGAACCAGGATCTCTAGTGGCACAGTTAGCACTGCGATGCAGTGCCTTAGACCACTGCGCCACTCAGGAGTTAATGGATGAGTTGTAGGGGTTTAATGGCACAGGCAGGGAGCCCAGCCAACAGCGAGTTGCAGTAATCCAGAAGGGAGATGACAAGTGCCTGGATTAGGACCTGTGCCGCTTCCTGTGTAAGGCAGGGTCGTACTCTCCGAATGTTGTAGAGCATGAACCTACAGGATCGGGTCACCGCCTTGATGTTAGCGGAGAACGGCAGGGTGTTGTCCAGGGTCACGCCAAGGCTCTTTGCACTCTGGGAGGAGGACACAACGGAGTTGTCAACCATGATGGCGAGATCATGGAACGGGCAGTCCTTCCCCGGGAGGAAGAGCAGCTCCATCTTGCCGAGGTTCAGCTTGAGGTGGTGATCCGTCATCCACACTGATATGTCTGCCAGACATGCAGAGATGCGATTCGCCACCTGGTTATCTGAAGTGGGAAAGGAGAAGATTAGTTGTGTGTCGTCTGCGTAGCAATGATAGGAGAGGCCATGTGAGGATATGACAGAGCCAAGTGACTTGGTGTATAGCGAGAATAGGAGAGGGCCTAGAACTGAGCCCTGGGGGACACCAGTGGTGAGAGCACGTGGTGCGGAGACAGATTCTCGCCACGCCACTTGGTAGGAGCGACCTGTCAGGTAGGACGCAATCCAAGAGTGAGCCGCGCCAGAGATGGCCAACTCGGAGAGGGTGGAGAGGAGGATCTGATGGTTCACAGTATCAAAGGCAGCAGACAGGTCTAGAAGGACAAGAGCAGAGGAGAGAGAGTTAGCTTTAGCAGTGCGGAGAGCCTCCGTGACACAGAGAAGAGCAGTCTCAGTTGAATGACCAGTCTTGAAACCTGACTGGTTTGGATCAAGAAGGTCATTCTGAGAGAGATAGCAAGAGAGTTGGCTAGAGACGGCACGCTCAAGAGTTTTGGAGAGAAAAGAAAGAAGGGATACTGGTCTGTAGTTGTTGACATCGGAGGGATCGAGTGTAGGTTTTTTGAGATGGGGTGCAACTCTCGCTCTCTTGAAGACGGAAGGGACATGGCCAGTGGTCAAGGATGAGTTGATGAGCGAGGTGAGGTAAGGGAGAAGGTCTTAAATATATATATTTTGGGAGCTATATAAAAGCATTTGTTGATGTCTACATTCGTTTTTGACACATTTATAATACTTAAATACATGTAATTTTGTCCTTGAAACATTTAATTGAAATACTGTAGAATTCCATTCATTCCTGGAGGACTGCGCCTACTACATTTACATTTACATTTTAGTCATTTAGCAGACGCTCTTATCCAGAGCGACTTACAGGAGCAATTAGGGTTAAGTGCCTTGCTCAAGGGCACATTTACGTCATTTAGCAGACGCTCTTATCCAGAGCGACTCACCAATTGGCTCCAAAGCCTCTCAATGGCCAATACATACCATTAGCAATCCAGGGTTTATATACACTATATATACAAAAGTATTAGTGGATTCAGCTATTTCAGCCACACCCGTTGCTGACAGGTGTAAAAATTGAGAACACAGCCATGCAATCTCCATAGAAAAAACACTGGCAGTAGAATTGCCTTACTGAAGAGCTTAGTGACTTTCAACGTGGCGCCGTCATAGAATGCCACCTTTCCAACAAGTCAGTTCGTCAAATTTCTGCCCTGCTAGAGCTGCCTGGTCAACTATAAGTGCTGTTATTGTGAAGTGGAAACGTCTAAGAGCAACAATGGCTCAGCCACGAAGTGGTAGGCCACACAAGCTCACAGAACGGGACTGCCGAGTGCAGAAGCGTGTAGCGTGTAAAAATGGTCTGTCCTCAGTTGCAACACTCACTACCGAGTTCCAAACTGCCTCTGGAAGCAACGTCAGTACAATAACTGTTCATCGGAAGCTTCATGAAATGGATTTCCATGGCCAAGCGTGGGCTGGAGTGGTGTAAAGCTCGCCACCATTGGACTCTGGAGCAGTGGAAATGCATTCTCTGGAGTGATGAATCATGCTTCACCATCTGGCAGTCCAACGGACGAATCTGGGTTTAGCAGATGCCAGGACAATGCTACCTGTAGTGGTGTAAAGTACTTAAGTAAAAATACTTGAAAGTACTATTTAAGTAGTTTTTTGGGATATCTGTACTTTACTTTACTATTTATATTTTTTTACTACTTTTACTTTTACTTCACTACATTCCCAAAGAAAATGATGTACTTTTTACTCCATACATTTTCCCTGACACCCAAAAGTACTCATTACATTTTTAAATGCTTAGCAGGACAATAAAATGGTCTAATTCACACACTTATCAAGAGAACATCCCTGGTCATCCCTACAGCCTCACTAAACACATGCTTTGTTTGTAAATGATGTCTGAGTGTTGGAGTGTGCCCCTGGCTATCTGTAAATAATACAATACAAAAAAATGATGCTGTCTGGTTTGCTTTATATAAGGAATTTGACATTTACATTTTAGTAATTTAGCAGACGCTCTTATCCAGAGCGACTTACAGTTAGTGAGTGCATACATTTTTATGGCAATAGTGGAGTTGAGGCATGAGTTTTTTAAGTAGTGATATAGTGATATGGGAAGTAGTGAAATTAGATCACCCTTGTCCTTTGGTATGAGATTGAGTGTTATAGCTAGCAGTTGTGAAACTGTGGAAAAATATACCTGTTCTGTCCTCACTGTGTTTCTTCACAGTTAGACAGGCAGCTAAACCCAATAAAATCCACAAAAGTTGCTTTTCTTCATGGCTTTACTGGTCAAATTTGTGAACTGTGAAAACAATACAGAGAAAAAACAATGCTTTGCTTAAAAATAATGACAATACAATCTCTATGATGGAGCTACGCTAACATTAATCGAAACAGACAGTTACTTGCTAGACAGACTAGCTAGCTAGCATCTCGCAGAAAGTTAGGGTTTATATAAACATCAGCTCAGTTAATTACAGAAATAATACATAAATAGTTGCTAACATACAATACAACAATATGTTGCTTTTACTTAGCTTGCTACAAGACTAATGCTTAGCAAGGCATAACGGAGCTTATAGGGGTGATACTGTTGCAGTTTTTAGAGGAAGCTTGTTTGCTTGATACATTTGTTACTGTTGAAAACAGACAGCAACCATTTTCATGCAATGACAAAAACGGCCACTAGATGACGCCAATGCTTTCTTCAATAGGAAATAGAAAGGGAATGATAGCGGTTCTATGGCAATACCAATGGAGCCCTTATGTGTGTGAATCATTGGTTTGTGTGAATCATTGGTTGGTATGAATTAATGTCACCCCTGGAAACTACATTTGTATTTTTTTTTTAGCTCCATGCTCCATCTGCAAGGTTTCTATATTTGATGGGCATCCCAGTCCTCAAGCCAGAGTCGCTGACTGTGTGTGTATAGTCTCTTGTCCATTAGTCATGTCTTACTACACTGCCTAGCCTGATGTCACACAACCAGCACTACTTTTGTAAAATAATATTTGTATTATTATATACACTACCGTTCAAAAGTTTGGGGTCACTTAGAAATGTCATTGTTTTCCATGAAAACATACATTAAATGAGTTTGAATAGGAAATATAGCAAAATGAATAGGAAATGTAGTCATTGACAAGGTTAGAAATAATGATTTTTTATTGAAATAATAATTGTGTCCTTCAAACTTTGCTTTCGTCAAAGAATCCTCCATTTGCAGCAATTACAGCCTTGCAGACCTTTGGCATTTTAGTTGTCAATTTGTTGAGGTAATCTGAAGAGATTTCACCCCATGCTTCCTGAAGCACCTCCCACAATTTGGATTAGCTTGGTGGACACTTCTTACGTACCATGCAGTCAAGCTGCTCCCACAACAGCTGAATAGGGTTGAGATCCGGTGACTGTGCTGGCCACTCCATTATAGACAGAATACCAGCTGACTGCTTCTTCCCTAAATAGTTCTTGCATAGTTTGTAGCTGTGCTTTGGGTCATTGTCCTGCTTTGGGTCATTTTCCTGTTGGCTCCAATCAAGCGCCGTCCACAGGGTATGGCATGGCGTTGCAAAATGGAGTGATAGCCTTCCTTCTTCAAGATCCCTTTTACCCTGTACAAATCTCCCACTTTACCACCACCAAAGCACCCCCAGACCATCACATTGCCTCCACCATGCTTGACAGATGGCGTCAAACATTCCTCCAGCATCTTTTCATTTGGTCTACGTCTCATAAATGTTCTTCTTTGTGATCCGAACACCTCAAACTTCGATTTGTCTGTCATAACACTTTTTTCCAATCTTCCTCTGTCCAGTGTCTGTGTTCTTTTGCCCATCTTAATCTTTTATTTTTATTGGCCAGTCTGAGATATGGCTTTTTCTTTGCAACTCTGCCTAGAAGGTCAGCATCCCGGAGTCACCTCTTCACTGTTGACGTTGAGACTGGTGTTTTATGGGTACTATTTAATGAAGCTGCCAGTTGAGGACCTGTGAGGCGTCTGTTTCTCAAACTAGACACTCTAATGTATTTGTCCTCTTGCTCAGTTGTGCACCGGGGCCTCCCACTCCTCTTTCTATTCTGGTTAGAACCAGTTTGCGCTGTTCTGTGAAGGGAGTAGTACACAGCGTTGTACGAGATCTTCAGTTTCTTGGCAATTCGTCGCATGGAATAGCCTTCATTTCTCAGAAAAAGAATAGACTGACGAGTTTCAGAAGAAAGTTATTTGTTTCTGGCCATTTTGCGCCTGTAATCGAACCCACAATTGCTGATGCTCCAGATACTCAACTAGTCTCAAGAAGGCCAGTTTTATTGCTTCTTTAATCAGCACAACAGTTTTCAGCTGTGCTAACATAATTGCAAAAGGGTTTTCTAATGATCAATTAGCCTTTTAAAATGATAAACTTGGTTTAGCAAACACAACGTGCCATTGGAACACAGGACTGATGGTTACTGATAATGGGCCTCTGTACGCCTATGTAGATATTCCATAAAAAATCAGCAGTTTCCTGCTACAATAGCCATTTACAACATTAACAATGTCTACACTGTATTTCTGATCAATTTGATGTTATTTTAATTTACAAAAAAATTGCTTTTCTTTCCAAAACAAGGACATTTCTAAGTGACCCCAAACTTTTGAACGGTAGTGTATATATTTTTTTATTCTAATTTTTCAAGGGGTGCTGCAGCACACTCAGCACCCCTACTTCCCGCGGCTATGCACACAATGTAAACTTAGAGTCACACTGTATATATACATAATATGACATTTGAAATGTCTTTATTCTGTTGAAACTTCTGAGTGTAATGTTTACTGTTAATATTTATTGTTTATTTCACTTTTGTTTACTATCTACTTCACTTGCTTTGGCAATGTTAACACACGTTTCCCATGCCAATAAAGCCCTTAAATTGAATTGAATTGAATTGAATTGAATTGAATTGAATTGAAATTGAATTGATGCAGAATCATTTTTGACATGATTTTGCTGCCTCCCACAGGAAAGAAAATTAAGTTGGCTACATTGTGTTCACTTATAACCTAAATCACTTTATTTGGCTCACACACCAAATTAATGTTTCCCCTAGGATAAAATTGAGAATTTAAAGGGGCATTTCTGTTGATATTGTTTTGCCAACTGACACAGAATTTAATGATGATTTATTTATCATTATAAAACATATTGTTCTTGGATTGACAAAATCTGTTGTTTAATGCTTTCAGCACTCATTTTACAACTGTATTAAGACAACTAACTGTCTACATCCTCAAATCATTTTTACCAAATCAACTTTGCCATTTTTCAATCATTTAAATGCTGTTGTCGATAATAGCTCATTGCAGTCAGTCTTTCATTTGGCTTTCTCTATCTATTCAATCAGAATACTTCAAAGACCTGTGAATGAGAGACTGGCTGCCCTTCCAATGCCCCTCTGTCTGCCCACACCTAGACCCCCAACCAGTGCTCTCTCTCTCTCTCTCTCTCTCTCTCTCTCTCTCTCTCTCTCTCTCTCTCTCTCTCTCTCTCTCTCTCTCTCTCTCTCTCTCTCTCTCTCTCTCTCTCTCGCTCTCTCTCTCTCTCTCTTCCTGTCGCTCTGCCTCTCACTTCTCTGAAGCGGGGATGTGCGCGCTAGAACAGGAAATGAATGAAGACAGAAGAGGCAGGCAAGCTGAGAACGGCACACACGCAAAGAGCACTCTCCCTCACACACAAACATTATCTCTCTCACACACACACTGCCCTGAGCTCCTCCAACTAGAGCTGGAACCTTTCAGCCCCAGGTGAAAATACAGAAAGTGGAGGAGGGGAGTGGGGGCCGGCCAGAGGAAGAAGAAGGAGAGGGCAAGGGGGGATCAGTGAGAAGAAAAGAGTGAAAGAGAGAACAGAGCAACCTGTTAGTGAGATCTGGGACTCTGCTGAAGAAACCGTGGGAGCTGGGAACACAGGCTATAGGATGGTTCTGCTGTCCTCTTGCTCCAGGTACATTTTCTGCAAAAACCTTTTAATAGACAACTTATTTATGTGGTGATTGTTGTACCTTATCAAACCTTGTTACTCAAAAGTGTATGCTGTATTTTTTTTTTAGCTATGGCAAGGGGTGGACAGATGCCTTCCCACAGAAATGTTGTTTGAAGGTTCTGTAGGGAAGTGGGACATTTCAAGGGCGAGGGCTCTTATTAGAATGTTTGAAAACGTTAGATGTACAGTGTGTGACTGTTGTTTGGCTGTTGTTGTCTGTGTTTGACCAATCACATGCTTAGTGAAAGGGTAAAAGTTCACCATGGCTATTGTGATTCTGTCACATGCGAATCACTCAGGAAAATTACGGTTGTGTCACATGTTAATCTCTGAGAATGATCTTGTGGTGTTGGGTCAACACCCCAGTGGTAATGATTCATATCCATACATAAATATTCACTTTCAGGTTACATTTTCCGTTGCTTCCTGTGGCTAATCTCAGCCTTTGATTTTACGACAGCCATACATTCAGAGATAGTATGGGTGTCCCTTTATATTCCTCTCTTTCTCTGCTTTGTGTGTTATGAGTGTGTTGTTGAGTGTGTTGTTGAGTGTGTTGTTGGGTATGTTTACAGGACAGGAACATATAGAGTGTATGTGTCCCTGTAGCGCTCAAACTACATTCCTGCCCCTGCCTGGTTGGGGTGGGTGTGGAGGGAAAGAGGGGAGTGCCGCGGGATCTTAATTTGTATCCCTCTTTTGTTGCTGAGAGTTTTCCTGCACCGCAGGAAATGCAGATGAGCTTTACATACATTCATTGAAAACACACACTCTTACACAAGGTTGTTTTAACAGTATTGCACTTTTCATGTAGCCTACTTTTGGCCAGCTAATAGCATAACCACAGATCAAGCAACATTATGGACTAAACGTTCAAATCGTGTTGCTGCAGGATTCATTTGCTGTGACAATATAGGTCAAATAAAGATCCTACATATGTACAGGGCACATTCCAGCAGGTCCACCCTCTCTCCTACTGAGACACTTCTCTGTCTCGCAAATACACACACCAACACCACCACCTTGTTCAGGTGTTTCGGTGAATTTTAGAATGGCAGAAATGAACTATTGGTTCAAATTGGTTATGTGACTACATTGTGGTTGCATTAACCACCATCACTGCTTTTCTCCTGAATCCTTAACGCTCTAAGATTATGTGCCATTGTTCTGCCTTGAGCTCAGCATAGCCTGATTGAAAGGTTAAGAAAATTAGAGAACAGAGAGCAGTGCTAAATTTGGAACGAAGTTTAGTGTCAAGGCCTGAGAGTGTGGAGCGCCACAGTTCAGAGGTGTCCCACATTTGCAGGGGTAAACTAAGCAGCACAGCCTGACTCTTTTCCATCCTGGACATCCTGCCAGGAACTAGAGACACTGAGCGAGGTCAAAGGGAGCCCAACTAGAGGAAAAAGAGAGGTTTCCGTATTTAAACACAGGCTGAATGGGATCTGCCTCCTCCAATTGTTCTCCCTTTTCACCAGCCCTTTTGAGTTGGAGGGTGTTCCTCACCAGCACAGATACCAACCCAGCAAACAGAGGATGTTCGTTGAGTGTTAGATATTTGTTATTTCATGTTCTTGTAAGGTTTTGAGCCAATGTTAAGACATTAACACTACAACAGGCACTTTCTGAACACAAAAAGTCTACAATCAAACATGATAAAGTTGTGAAAACATTATGCATTGCAAGTAATAAATGCATGTGTGTGATGTCCATTGAAACGGTACAGTGAAAGGCAAGAACAATGTACAAGATCTGTTCTGAAAACATTTTGGGAACGTTTTGATACCCCCAAAAAGTTGTTTGCCTGGATTGGCACTCTTTTCTGACTTGCACTGACATGATGAATCACTGCCTTGAGCATATCTATCATTCTTCTCCCTTTCTCTCTTTCCCAGAGGGAGGGAGTCACTGAAATGTTCTCAAGTCGTCAAACAGGTTATTTTGATCTACAAAAAGCGCCCTGGTTCAAGCCTATGAAACTCAACATTTTCACAAAGCCTATTTGTTATGTCATGTTACGAAATATTGATATATGAGCAGGGAGCTTGGCACTGTGAGTTTGTGTGGCTTTATCTCTGGAGCCGGGCTAGGCGCTCCCTTCTTGGGTTTCTGTTCCTTTGGTAAACCACAGGATTGCCATTCCGGTGGGCCAGCTCCCTCCCTCTGTTCAGTGTGGAACCGGTGGCTGGGCTGTTCCGCTCTCACCGTCTCCTCCCTCTGCTCTCTCAGGCTGTGGTGGTTCTGCCCTCTGCAGAGGACCCACTCTGCTATTCAGCCATGCTGGAGCAGGTTGTCAGAGATATAGGGAGGTTGGCTCGGCTGCTACAGAAGTAGTAGATCTGACTCTGAACAGATATTCCACAAAACCTCCCCAAGGCCTAAAAATGACTATGGAATGATGTAGGTTATTCAATTGAAATGCATTGCCTTGCACCGGAGGTCCATCTAATATGTCATCCAGTTATCCCGTTTTGTTGTTAGGGTGGATGTGAGGGATGTGAGTGGCTTACAGGTTCTATGCAGAGGTGGAGCTGGAAGGGGCCAGTGTTTACACTGTAAACAGAGATAAAGGGAATAGTCAGCCACCATGATTTTTTCTCTCTTCCCTTTCTCTATCTTTCTCCCCTCTCTCTCTTTCTCTCTAAACCCTCTTTCTCTCATTTTCTCTTTATCTAAATTCTCTCATCTCTTTCCTCCCACTGCAGCGACAGACACAGAAAGGAAATATCACATGACTAGTCCTGCCTTGTCCCCTCTCCCTCCCCAGAGTTATTTCTGATAGTCAGTCCTTCGTCACTGGTTAATTACCTGAGCAGTGAGCACATCTGATCACATAGTAGAATCAGGTTAGACCAGAAATACAGACCAGACACGTTGTAGCAATAGCAGACGTGCTCCATGGGTTGTTCCACTGGTATATGGGAATTGGTCAAGCTGCACTGTGTTGTTCTAAGAGAAGTTGGTGCATAAGACAAATCTATTGAGAGGAGACACCTGTACAAGAACATGTTGTATGCTATGTAGTGTTAAAATACACTGTAATTATGTTTAACTACTGGTATTTGGGCCTGCACACAATGGCACACATTATGCAGAGTGTCAGTCATTAGTAATAATGAAGAAAGCCATTAAATCTACCTGCAATTGAGAATACTGATATCAAAACATAGAACAAGCATACAAATGCAATGTATTTTCATTTTCAGTGTTGAAATAGGCAAATACCACCCTGTCCCCTTAGGTTAAATAGAGTGTGTTTCCTTGTGGTCTAAGATAAGAGAGACATGGTATATTGAGATCAGACAGATATGTGTGTGTCTGTGTGATATTCTCAAGATGTGAGAGAAAGAGGGTTCACTTGGTTTCTATGACGACATGTTTTGACTGCTCTAAGTTGGCCTTGAGGTGGGAGGTCAACTTGTTCTCACTTTGACACGTCATGGTAAGCTACTCTTAAACAAGACCAAAACAGAGTATTATGAGTTCACAAATGTCAGAATGGACATGGCATTTTCTAAATGTGTGTGAGGTCTGTTTATGCACACGTGTGTGCGTGCATTGTATGTGCATGCATGTGACCTTTCAGCTGATCTACAGTTAGTACTAGGGTATTAGTGTAGGGTATGCTGCTCCCAGATCTGTGATGAGGGACGATTTCCATCGCGAGCACATCCTGCTTCATGATGTCTGGCCCGCCATGGACTGGTCAGTGTTATGATATATTTTGGCATGTTGTTGAGAACAACACTACTTCTTCCTGCTTCTCTCTTTGTGTACGCCCCAGCCCAGCCAGCCCAAAGAGAGGAAGGAACTACCACTAAACTGTCACGCTTGCAAATCAAGCAATGCAGATATTAATTAAAGTCCTGAAAATAAGGCTTATCCAAATGATTGACTGGGACAAACAAACACGCAGAGAGGAGAGACAGAAGGTATTTATAGGATGTTTAAAGCTTAGGAAAGGCTTCCGGCGTTGTGATTTTTCACCAATCTGGGACAAATCTGTAATATTTACAGTGACCAGCACCATGAAAATATCATTCTCTACCAAATGACATCATACTCTACCAAACTAGTTATTTAGTGTAACAAGAGGTGACTACTCTTGTGTAATGAGTAACCTTGCCAGAGACCTGAATACTTGCATTGGCTCCCCAAGCTAATGCCTAGGGTTTAGCTTAACAGGCTACCACAATCTTGGGGCATGCATAGTCAGAACAATCGTTTAGGGAAAGCTAAAAGTGAACATATGACATGTTTTAAGCCCTAAAATGGACATGCATATCAACCAACTTCCTTAAAGGACTTATATAAAATTTCTAAATGGAGAAGAGCATTATCATGACATGTCATTTACACATGTTCCACTGTCACGCTGGATTGACAGATGTACAGATGTGTCACGAGCAGTGATCTATGTGGTGGCATAATATGGAGCTATAGGGGGTTGACTATTATATCTACTGGTAGTGTGTGTGTGGCCACTTGGCAGCTGGGTAATCTTTGAAGTTCAATATTATCTGTTGACAATGGGCGTGGGTCGTGGCCATCGAGAGATCTGCCGTGTTTGCTGAACACCACACTGAGGGTGTGCACATTCTGTAGTGTTGGTGTGTCAAGTGGAACGACCTAATGTACACATTCCCATGTACAGTTATATACTAGCATTTGATAGTGACAAGATCATGTGTACTGCAATATGTACATGTTTACAAACATGAAGATGTATATGTACAGAACATACCGTATATTTACAAGAATAGTAAGGTAATGCAATACTTTTGTAAAGTATGAGTAATGTAGTAAACCGATTTGTTTTGTTTTGTTTTGTTTTGTTCCCTTTAGGAGGGCTGCAGTGGAGCCTTGACCGATCTTGAGGGAAAGGAAGGGGTGGGTGGCCACGGCCGACACTGCCACAGCCACCACGCTGCCACAATGTCTTCCTTGGTGTGCAGCATGGGGCTGGTGCTGGTAGAGTTTGAGTACGAGTACATGGGCCGAGACGGGGGCCTGGTGTCCATCAAGCCCAACGAACGGTACATCCTGCTGGCCAAGACCAACGACCACTGGTGGCACGTGCGCAAGAACGAGCATGCAAGGCCCTTCTATATACCTGCTAAATACGTCAAGGAGCTCCCCGCAGAGTTCCCATCCCCGCTGGACTTTGCTGACCCGCCCAGTACCGATTTGGTCCCAGTTCCGGTTCCTGTGCCAGTGCCAGTGCCAGTCCCAAAGCACTCCGTACCAGACCGGGCAGAAACGAGGGCGGGAGATGAGGTGACTATCCGCCTCCGCTCCCCAAAGAGACATAAGAAGACTGAGCACCGCATGTCCACATTCGGCGTACCCTTAGAATTCCACGACCCGCCCCCCGTGGCTTTCAAGCGCGGCGGGCTTAACGACTCGCTGCTGGGCCTTCACTCCTATGTTGCCCCTGAGGTTCCCTTAACAGCCAACGATAGTGCCAAACACAAGAAGCAATTAAGCCTGGCTTCCGGTGTGCTCTTCGGCTCCTCCCAAACCCTGTCGGTGGAGGAGCCTCTCTCCCTGAACCCCCGAGTCCCCAGCTTCAGCCCAGCTGACCCCCTCCACCGGCCCTCCCAGCCCATCCCAGTAGAGACACCCATCATTCCTGATGCCGAGGTCACCGGTGGCGGGATTCCCCACCAGGAACCTCTGAAAGAGCCGGAATCTCCTCTGGAGCTGGAGGAGGAGGGAGAAGAGGAGAAATCTAGTGTGGAGCCTGAGGACGAATCGAAGGAGAATATTTATGAATCCATTTTGGACCTGAAGCTGGATGAGTCCCCTATAATATTGGAGACGGCCCCGACTGTGAGTCCTGCTGCTGTGGCTGTGGCTGAACCTACACCTGTTATCGCTCCCACTTCTCCATCTCCAACACAGACACAGGTAAAATTATTATCTGTAAAAGTAGTTGTAAGTAGTGAACCTGCAGTGCGGTTTGCCTTTTTGATCGCATTGGGGCCACAGTCTTTCCTTCACACTATGTATGTGCCTATGAAATGATGACTGTTGATTAAAGGTGAGGCCCTTCATTACGTGGGGCTTTTATGGGGCCTTTTACAGTTCATAGAGTACTAGTATCCCATGAAGTTTAATATCTGGGAGGCCCTTCCATAGGAAGTGGCTAGTTATTATAGGATACATGTTGGATTGGTCTGTATGGTAAACTGCAGCTGTCTTATGAATACATTGTTTAGAAGAGATCATATTGTGAGGCTCCACCGGTCAGACATGAAAATGAACAATATGACCTCCTTTTGTGGCAGTCTGTCTCAAGGAAGTAAGAATGGGAGGAAGGATGGGGGAGTTGTCCATCAAGCTATACAGCAAGGCAGACAGATAGACAGACACTCACTGGCTTGTACCTAGCAATTACTGAGACCAAGCAAATAGTTGGAATAGCATAACAAGTCAGACAATTAACACTGTGGGCAGGGTGCAGAAGAACCTATTCACAGATGGTGGATATTTTCTTTCCTCCATTGCTTAAGATTCCACAGGGAGGCACTGTCTGCAACTAAATGTTGTTGAGGAAATCAAGGTTGTTCCTGGCAACATCCACATATTCAGCTTCTACCCCCCAAGTCATAAGACTGCTAAATAGTTAGTTAAATAGTTAACCAAATAGCTACCCGGACTATCTGCATTGACACTTTTTGCACTAACTTATTTGACTCATCACATGCGCTGCTGCTACTGTTTATATCTGATACTTTATTCTCAGTTATATGTACATACACTACATGACCAAATGTATGTGGAAACTCATTACAATATCACAGGCATTAATATGGAGTTGGTCCTGTCTTTGCTGCTATAACAGCCTCCACTCTTCTGGAAAGTCTTTCCACTAGATGTTGGAACATTGCTGCGGGGACTTGCTTCCGTTCAGCCACAAGAGCATTAGTGAGGTTGGGCACTGATGTTGGGTGATTAGGCCTGGCTCGCAGTCGTTGTTCCAATTCATCAAATGTGTTTGATGGGGTTGAGGTCAGGGCTCTGTGCAGGCCAGTCAAGTTCTTCCACACCGATCTCGACAAACCATTTCTGTATAGGCCTCGCTATTGTCATGCTGAAACAGGAAAGGGCCTTCCCCAAACTGTTGCCACAAAGTTGGAAGCATAGAATCATCTAAAACAGGGGTGTCAAACTCATTTTAGCTCAGGGGCCACATGGAGGAAAATCTATTCCCAAGTGGGCCGGAACGGAAAAATCATGGTATATATAACTTAAAAACAACAACTTCAGATTGTTTTCTTTGTTTTAATACGATCAACATACAACATAAAGCTGGAGCCTGAGGACAGTGTGTCCAAAATAGTACAAGCACAACATCATTATTAATCATAAAACACGTCAAGTTTATTTGAAAATTCTAAAGAAAAAGAACACACAAACACACAATGCCTCAGTGATTAACAGAACTGTTTCACAGATCACAGAACTATATCAGGGTGTCATTTCTCAGGCAGAAATGTAGATACAAATAATGAAATCCTGTTCCCCAAACAAGTGCAAGAACCACAGAGTCAAGAATAGGTTAAATATACAAATAAAATAAAATCAATTAAAAACAATAGCACATCAACATAAAAACATATAAACATAAAGCTGGAGCCTGAGGACAGTGTCCAAAAGCACAACATCACTATTAATCATAAAACACCTCAAGTTATTTGAAAGTTCTGAGGACAAAGAACACACAAACACACAATGCCTCAGTGATTAACAGAACTGTTTCACAGATCACAGAACTATATCAGGGTGTCATTTCTCAGGCAGAAATGTAGATAAAAATAATGAAATCCTGTTCCCCAAACAAGTGCAAGAACCACAGAGTCAAGAATAGGTTAAATATACAAATAAAATAAAATCAATTAAAAACAATAGCACATCAACATAAAAACATATAAACATAAATCTGAAAGCGTTGCTCAAACTCCCGTAACAGTCCCGTTATTTTATATTTGAACCGCTTCATGTCTGCCACATGTTGTGTCGCGCACACATTTTTCAGACAGGGGAAGTGAGCTGCATCACCACCGGCAAGTTGCGTCTCCCATAATGACAGCTTCAACTTGAAAGAACGTATGCTGTCATAATACTGCGTGACAACTTTGTTGCGCCCTTGCAGCTGTTTGTTCAAGTTATTCAGGTGCTCTGTAACATCCACCATAAATGCAAGGTCCTGCATCCATTCTGCGGAATGAAATTCTAACACTGGTTTGCCCTTTTCTTCCATGAACTGTTCAATTTCTTCTCGTAAATCAAAGAAACGCCTCAGCACAGCACCTCGGCTTAACCATCTTACCTCAGTGTGGTATGGCAGGCCATAGATGTGGTCTTTCTCTCTGAGAAGGCTGTCAAACTGACGGTGATTCAGGCTTCTGGATCGGATGAAATTAACAGTTTGGATGACCACCTTCATGACGTTATCCATCTTTAATGACTTGCAACACAAAGCCTCCTGGTGCAAAATACAGTGAAAAGTCCAAAAATCACGTCCTCCATTTGCAGATTGCACTTTCTCTCTGAACTTTGTCACAACGCCTGCTTTTTTCCCGATCATTGAGGGCGCACCATCTGTAGCCAGGCTGACAGCGTGGGACCAGTCCACTCCGACCCTGTCCAGCGCGCCGACGAGGGCGGTAAAAATATCAGCTGCTGTCTTTGTATCTGTCATCGGCACCAACTCCACGAACTCCTCGGTGACGGTCAATGTGTCATCAACTCCGCGGATGAAAATGGCCAGTTGTGCAACATCTGTAATGTCCGTGCTTTCATCAATTGCAACCGAAAACGCAATAAATGACTTTACTTTTTGCTTCAACTGGCTGTCCAAATCCACTGAAAGATCGGAAATCCTGTCTGCAACTGTGTTTCTTGTCAGGCTGATATTTGCAAAAGCCAGCCGCTTTTCAGGGCACACTATCTCTGCTGCCTTCATCATGCATGTTTTTACAAATTCACCCTCACAAAATGGTTTTGAAGCCACTGCGATTTCATTAGCAATGAGGTAGCTAGCTTTCACTGCAGCATCACTGATGTCTCGGCTGTGAGTAAACACAGACTGCTGTTTCTTCAGACCCGCCAACAGTTCATTCACCTTCTCTCATCTCCGCTGTCCTTGAAAGTTGTCATATTTGTCGGCATGAAGACTCACATAGTGGCGACGAAGGTTATATTCTTTCAGCACTGCAACATGCTGTGAACACACCAAACATACAGCTTTCCCATTCAATTCCGTGAATAAATAGAAGGATGCCAATTTTTCTTGGAACACTCTGCGTCCACTTTTCTCTTTTTTGACAGAGACATATTGGGGCAATGAGGGTGCCAAAGCACATAATGTTAAAAGTAGAAGCCGTAATAAATGTAGCGGGCAAAACAAAGTAGCTCATTGGCTGCACGTGCTTGACCTACTTGCTCTGCCCCGGTATAAACAGTTTGCTTGCTTAACACAATTGCTATTGCGCCATCCAGTGGACGCAATTGGAACAGCCGTTTATTTTATTGAAAAATTGCAGCGCATTTTTATACTTTACCAAATATATATATATATATATATATATATATATATATATTATTTTTTTTTTATCATCTCGCGGGCCGGATTAAACCCATTTGCGGGCCTGATCCGGCCCGCGGGCCGGACGTTTGACACCCCTGATCTAGAATGTCATTGCATGGAGTAGCGTTAAGATTTCCCTTCACTGGAGCTAAGGGGCCTAGCCCGACCCATGAAAAACAGCCCCAGATCATTATTCCTCTTCCACCAAACTTTACAGTTGGCACTACGCATTGGGGCAGGTAGGGTTCTCTTGGCATCCGTCAAACCCAGATTTGTCCGTCGGACTGCCAGATGGATAAGCGTGATTCATCACTCCAGAGAACGCGTTTCCACCGCTCCATATTCCAATGGCGGTGAGCTTTACACCACTCCAGCCGACGCATGGCATTGTGTATGGTGATCTTAGGCCTGTGTGCGGCTGCTCGGCCATGGAAACCCATTTCATGAAGCTCCCGACAAACAGTTATTGTGCTGACGTTGCTTCCAGAGGCAGTTTGGAACTTGATTGCTTCCAGAGGCAGTTTGGAGCTCGGTTGCTTCCAGAGGCAGTTTGGAACTCGGAAGTGAGTGTTGCAACTGAGGATAGTTGACCTGGGCAACTCTAGCAGGGCATAAATTTGACGAACTGACTTGTTGGAAAGGTGGCATCCTATGATGGTGCCAGATTGAAAGTCACTGAGCTCTTCAGTAAGGCCATTCTACTCGATTTTATACACCTGTCAGCAACGGGTGTGGCTGAAATAGCCAAATCCAATAATTTGAAGGGGTGTCCACATACTTTTGTATATATAGTGTATCTACCTCAATTACCTCGTACCCCTGAACTTCGACTCAGTACTGGTACCGCGTGTATATAGGCAAGTTATCGTTACTCATTGTGTATTTATTATTACCTTTATTATTACGTGTTTTACTTTTCTATTATTTCTCTATTTTCTTTCTCTCTGCACTGTTGGGGAGGTCCCGTAAATAAGCATTTCACTGTCAGTCTACACCTGTTGTTTACGAAGCATGTGACGAATCCAATTAAATATTCAAGTTAAAACTTCAGGAAGAGATTTGTTCACAGTATTTCTGTTGACTTTTTCACTGAAAGTTGCAGTCAACTGATTCGTTGAACAGGTTGACAACTTCTCAGGAGACTATATCTATAGTTTAGTCTTGAATCTGTGACTCCTCAATTGCCAATAGTGGTGAGGGAAGTGTGTTCAAAAGAAAAAGAGCAGGAATACAATGGTGACCAGCATGAGCAACTATGGTCAGTGACATCGCACACAATGCCCAGTCGACAGAAAAGTCAGGAGAAACACTTGAGGTTCTGTCTGCTAGCGTTAGTCATGAGGTTGTGGCCAGTCCGTTTAATCATTTGGTCACAGAGTTAATGAAATAGGGATGCCAGAGGAAACAATGGAAGACAAAGGAAAAGAGGGTCAGTTTACAGGGCGGCACTGCCAAGGTGACGTCAACGGAGGATATGGGTGCTTTTTTGAGCCGTGGTGGCAGGAAG